GAACGGTGACAGAAAATGAGAAAACACGGATAATAACGGATTGGAAGCACGGATTGATAAAAAGACGCGTGTTTAAAACGATCGTCTTCGAGTTTATAATTTTTCATCGATAATTTTTAAAAGAGACGCTGAGAACTGACACCGATACTGACACGAATGAAAGTTTCACGGGTTGGAAACAACATTGATGAAGAGATGCTATTTGTAAAGCGATCATCGTCTTCGAATTTTAAATTTTTTATCGATAATTCGATCGGCAACTTTTTCGATACTCCTTTTCAAAAGAGACGCTAACAGAGAATGAGGAAACACGGATGACAGTTAACGCGCGAAAGTTTCACGAATTGGATGCAACGTTGATAAAAAGATGCATGCTGTTTGTAAAACGATCATCGTCTTCGAATTTTAAATTTTTTATATAATTCGATACATATTTTATATATATTATATATATTATATAATTTATTTATAAATAATTTATAAATATTTTATATATATTACATAATTCAATACTCTTACATAATACAATACTCTTTTCCAAAAGGAACGCTGACAGAGAATGAGAAATCACGGATGACAGTTAACGGGTTGATAAAAAGACGCGTGTTTGAAGCGGTCGTCTTCGAGTTTATAATTTTTCATCGATAATTTAATTGCAATTAATTTTTTCGGTAGCTCTTTTTTAAAAGAAACGCTGACAGAGAATGAGAACTGACATAACGACGAATAAAAGGATTGGATGCAACGTTGATGAAAAGATGCATACTGTTTGTAAAGCGACCGTCGTCTTCGAATTTTAAATTTTTTATCTTTATAATTCGATCGACAACTTTTTCGATACTTTCTTTTAAAATGGAGCACGGACGACAGTTAACGCGCAAAAGTTTCACGAATTGGATGCAACGTTGATGAAAAGATGTATGCTCATTGTAAAACGATCGTGTTCGAGTTTATAATTTCTTATCGATAATTTAATTGCCACTAGCTTTTTCGATAGCTCCGTTTAAAAAAAAAAAACAAATTTTCACCAGACTCTCTCTACAATTATCGGTCCAGGGACACCGTTGACAAAATTATATTAGGTATTACGCGAGGTATTATCAATTGTAACACGGGGTACGTACGATTGCAAATGCGATACGAGACAAATCCCAGGAGGTAAAATTCGCTACCATATATATATCGAGTATTGCTTCTATTCCCCTAATTGGAGTCTATTGATGTTATATGAAATTAATTTATACATTGACGTTTAGCTCGCAACCCGTCTAACCAACCGAACAGAATAACTAATGAACAAAGCAAATAGGCTTGGCAATACGTTACGTTCATCAAACACTTCCCTCGAATTGAATTGAATTTTCTACCCACGATTCTGCGCAAGAAACGCGAAAACGAAATCGAATTCACCGCGTTCGTACTCGTACGAATTTCTCTAATATTTCAATTACTTCGTTAATTACAACGGAATAAACGTTACATCGAACGAAATCGTCCATCTCCTCGCGTTCTTTTCTCCGAAGTGAAAAGTAATCTCCGAGATAACTGCTCGTTTCGAAAGACGAGAAGAAAAAGTTCGAAACAAAAATTGGCGAGTTTCAGGGGGGTTTCTCCTCTCGTTGAGAGGCCCCTGCCGATAAATAAAAGTGGCGCGAGGATCGCGACAGCCCGATGGAAATAAAGACTTGGCGGGATTGATAGGATGAAGGACAAGCCAGCCTTTTTTATTTTTATTTCTACTCTTTCTTTTTTTTTTTTTTTTTTTTTTTTTTTTTTTTTCGACCGGACGCTGTGTCTAGGAGCTTGGAATTTGAATCATCGCCGCTCGACTTCCAACTCTTGACGTCCATCGCTTGTTCGGCCGCGCAACGCTCGCAATAAATCCAAACTAACTCTTTATCCCATCTCTGGAGAGAGAGGAAAGGGGGAGGGGGCTTTGTCGTTGGCCAGGCGTCGAAGCTCGGCCGCCGCCATTGTCGCCGGTTATATCGCGCGCGCCGAAAGAGAAAGAGGAAGGGGGTGGACGGAGGAGGGTGGCCGCCGCCGCCGTCGGTGGACAGCTCTCGATGGAACTTGAATTAAATTTCGAGATTTATCGCGTCAATAACCGTGCATTAATTTACGATTTTTAACGCGCGGTGGAAACGTAAATTTCGCGGCGTTCGTTCGTTGCCGATTGTTTCGTTTCGCCCCGCGTCCTCGTCAAGTGGAGGTGGAGCGGACAAGAAGAGGAAGCCGTGAAAAGAGGGCCGATCGCGTTCGAAAGAGGGGGAGAAGGGAAGGGTTGGGAGAAAGGGTGACGAGAGAGGTGGCTCTGGATCGACAGAGAGGGAGGGAAAGAGTCGTCCCCAGGGGTGGGAGAGGTTGAAGTGTGGGCAACGACATATGCGACTGGCGTGCCGCTCTACGTCTAACTTATATCGACTATTACTCATGTTCGCGCACTGTGACATTCGCGGCGGCGACATTCGGCTGAAAACTCGCGGAAAACAATGATCGCGGATCATCTCAGGAGAGGAGAGAAGCTCAAAGTTAAAAAAGAAGAATACTCGTCGATACGAGAGGATAAATTTTTCGATTGATCATAAATTATATATATATATATGATAGATCGGTATATAGAGATATAGAGATATAAAATTTCGAATATTCTTATTCTCCTCGGGGCGAGTTGATCGCGCTCTTCCTTCCTTCCTTCCTTCCTTTCTTTCTTTTTTTCTTTCTTTCTTTATTACGTGAAAACGAGGACGATTAAGGGCTGGCTAAATACCGAGGCCGACGGTGGAAAGCAATTTAACCGAGTATAAGTATTTAAGCGGGGAGGGGGGAAAGTAAATGCATAACTCCGCTTCCGCGGAAGGCCGCGTTTACAGTTGACCGCAACTTTGTTTAGCTTCTTGCGCAACATAGTAGTTTTGAGTAAAATTTACTCGAAAACTACCGCTTGTCCGGTCTCCTCGCACTTGACCTTCTTAACTCGGTTTATTGCAACGTTTTCAGGAGAGGCCATCCTGGCAGCCATCCTGAAAACGCGGGAAACGCGAAACAAGATTGCGAAACGATTCGCGCGCAACTTGTAAATTATTTCCCCGTCCCATTAAGGGATTAAGAAATTATCACGGATATCGGGGGATATAATGAAATTCGCACGATTCCCAGTGCAGGAAGAGCTTCTCGAACGAAGAAGAACGATTAATTGCTCGAAGAGCGAGCGAAACCGAAAAAGTTGCATATAGCAGGAGGGGGGAGGGAAGGAGGAAGATAAACGGGGAGAATGAGAAAGCAAGGTACTAGCTACTCTTTGACGCGCGTAATCTCGCTTACCCTCTCTCCTTCATCATTCTCTTTTCACGTTCTGTCCTTTCGGCGAAACCCTCTTTCAGCCTTTCTTCGCTCCTTTCCTTTCCAATTTTACTTCTTTCCACCATCTCCCGTCTCTTTCTCCAACCTGCCCGATATCCACCGCTGCTTTTCGCAATATCATCCAATTCCGTTATGAAAAATTGTGCGCTCCTGTAGCCCCGATCTTTTTTAAGAATAATAATAATTCAAGCCGCGATTAATGTTTCCAGCGTACAACGCCGTTACCAACGGATGGATAGTCTTTTCTTCGTCGAAAGAACGAAGCCAGCTCCCTTTCGTTTCGAGCGAGTGACATAATGAACGAAGATAAATACACGACGAGCAATTCCTAGCTGCTTCCCCGCTAATCATTTTAATGCAATTTACAAAAGTAAACGGCCATATTTATTCTTTCCAACCGATGAATCCTTCGTTAATGCGTTCTTCGTCGCGTGATTTCTTTCTGAATCATCGTCGATCCTTCCTCCTCCTCCTCTCCGATGTTACGCGAAAATATCGGCGGAACGAAAAAGCAATTGGCAAGATTTATTTTTGTTTCTTCCTCTCTATTTTTTCCTTCCTTCCTTCCTTTCTTTCTTTTTTTTTTTCTTTCTTTTTTCACGAAAACCAGACAATATGAAATTCTATCGAACGTTGGAAAAATTCTGACGAACGAGCGAGCGAGCGGGATGAAAAATTTGGCAGACCTATAACCCAGAGTTTTATTCGAGCCACATGCCAGTCCCCATCGAACGAAAGAATATTTTATTTAAGTCGGGGGGGACGGCCCCAACGCGGGAGGCTTACCCCTTACTCGAGTATTCCTAATTTCGTCTGTCGGGCATCGCTGGAATCTTAATTACGAGGAAGAATTTTTAGGGTGTTCGACGATCGTTCTCGAAACTCGTTGTTTTCGAGAGAAATGCCTCGAAATTCGTCATTGCGGGGGATAGAATTAAACTCTTCGTCGAGACTTTTTTTTTTTTTTTTTTTTTCTTTTTTCTTCTTGATAAAACGGAAGATTGTGGGGATATATATATATATATATGTATATATACGATTATAAAATCGAGAAGAAAATGCACGATGCGATTAGTAGTAGACGGGGTGTCTCGTTAAAAGTTGGAAAAAGAAAACCGGTTTCTGCTAATCTGTTGCTTTCGTGTTACGTTGTATCACGGGGAGATAAGGTAAACGGAATGATTGCCAAATGTCACGAAACATCTATCCGTTAATTGGAAGTAACGAGGGTAGTAGCCTTCTCTCTCAACTTTTGCGATAATGCGAAAAGAAGCGTTAAATGCGCGCAACGGTATAATTAGGCGAATAATGATCGAGAAATCGGAAGAAAATGGGATAAAATTTTTTTCCCCTCGCTTCGTTTTCCAGAAAATTAACCGGATATTCTCAACTCAACACGAGACGCTGAAACGTTATCCAGTGTGTATAAAAATTTAATTAAAATTCAAAGGGATGAAAGGTTTCGTTGTATATAAACGAATCTTCGAAAGGGAGGAGGGGGAAAAAGAAGAAGAAGAAGAAAAAAAAGGAAGAAGAAGAATGTTCGAGTTACTTTAACCGCAAATAATAATTTCCAAGAACTCTTTCGTAACGGAAAAATTCATATTTTTAACAAATGAACTTGTTTCTTGTTGCAGAGATTGCAGAGTCGTGAGAGATCCACAAACGCTCAAATCCAAAGGATATGGATTCGTTTCCTTTGTTAAAAAAGCGGTAAGTCTAACAAATTTAATTTCATCCCACGATTTCATTCCCCTGGTAAATTTAAAAAAAAAAAAAAAAATAATACCAAGTTACGAAATTTCTCGTGTAATCGTGTAAGCTAAAATAATATTTTTAATTACAAAAAACTCTTTCCTTTCTCTGAAACGCTTCAAATCTCTCTCTCTCTCTCTCTTGCACAAACAAAAATTTCAAATAGCGAAAAAAAATTAATTCTAAAACGATTATATAATAATCATTCATACCCTTTGATTAGAAACTTTGCGCTCCATTCCTGGAAATTTATTTAGAGATCTCGTTGATCAAACAAGAGAGAAAAAAAAAAGGAGGGGAGTCGAGCGCTTTAAACCGTTTTTCGAAAGGAAGGGGGGGGACTACGACTTTTATCACGATTCTTCTCAAAATCTACCGCGTAAATCACGGCGTAAGTTAAACGCAGGACAGTTAAGTAGGAAGGCTCGCCACCTTCTTTTATGGGGGAAGGTTATCCGCCAAGGCGGCTACCCCCAACACCGCCTCTCGTTTCCCTCCCTCCCCTGTTTTAATGTTCGATCGATCTGGACCACCGCAGGCACCTGCCTCACCACCCCACCCCAACTATTACTTACCATTGGCCGAGTATAAATTTTCCACGGGGTGTCCCCGTGAAGATCTCGAGGAGCACGCGAAAATTTCTCTCTATCCCCCTCTATCCCCCTCTATCCTGGATCGACCGAGGCCAACGCAGGTTGACTCTCTTAACGTGCAAAGAGGAGATCGTCCCCCACGAGACGACGCAGCGCGAAAACGTGATTTCGAAAGGTATGGATCCCGATGTGATTAAACGAGACGGCGCGCTATCTATCAAGCGAAACTATAAATACGTGGATGGCAGTTGCCCGGAAGGAAGAGATAGAAAAAAAAGAAAAAGGAAGGGGCGGGCACGTGCGGGGAATTTCAGGGGGTGGCAAGGCGAGAGCCAAAATCGCCAAAAAGTTGGCCACTTTGAAGCGACGCGAAGAAGCAGAGGGGAAGGAAGGGGAAGATCGATAAATCCTTTTGGCGATAAATCAAGAAATCGGAGGGGGAGGAAAAAAAGGCTTTCATAACGTTCCATCGATAAAATCCCAGCTGGAATAAGGTCGGAAGCGTATCGGGTGTAAGGGTGGCAAAAAATTCATTTCATATTCTTAATTTCCACGGTGGCTGTTGATTCCAAAATTTCCCCGATCGGCATCGACATAATATTCCCATAAAATATCCGATCGATGACTCCTCTCCCTCCCTCCCTCTCTCTCTCTCTCTCTCTCTCTCTCTCTCTCTCTCTCTCTCTCTCTCTCTCTCTCCCTCCCTCTCTCTCTCTCTCTCCCTCCTTCTCTCCTTTCCAGTTTCGCGTCCGCGGTATCATCGGCGATCGATAGAAGGATCGGAGGAAAGAAGACGAAAAAGAGAGAAGCGCAGAAGGCGAAAGAAAGAAAGAAGAAAACGAAAACGAAAAAAAAAAAAAAAGACACGTAGAGTACGTATAGTATGCTCCTTTAGAGCCACGTAAGCCTATGACTTAGTAATGCGTGTAAAGCAGCTGGGTGTCGCTTCGCTCGTAGTCACGGAACGGCCTATAGGCGTTTCCCCTCCCTGCGTGTACGTGTGTGCATGTGTGCGCGAGAAAATTCGATTTGACGTGTGCTCGGACAGGTTGAACTAGGCAGGTCTGGGGCGACGAGGTCGGTAGGACAGCCGCGGCGTGTCGTATAAACGGTCCGGTCACGGAAAGCGGGAAGGAGAGCGGGAGAGAGCGGAGGAGGGGGGAGGGGGGTGGTTGCATTCAGCCGTTCCTGCTCGTCCCGGGGTTAGGGGCAAACTTATCGACCGTAGTTTAGAATCGGCTTAGAGAGAGGCGAGCATTCGGCCCGTCTATCTAGGTCTAACCGCGCGAGCCAAGCGGCGTCATATCGGGGGGGAAGGGGATGGAAATTCGAATCGGAAATACTTTATACCTTCCCCTCCCACGCGTGTAAATACGTAGGGATACGGTTACGAAGAGGGATAAGAAGAGCGGGAAAGAAGTAGCTGGATCGTAGCGATGCTAAGTTTCTCTCTTTCCACACAGGAAGAGAAAGAGGGGTAACGTTGGTGGATGGTAACGGTTGTGGAAACGAGGCGAAAGCCTCGAAGAGAGTCCTCGAAATGGCGCAAATGGGGGAGGGGGAGGGAAATAGGGGGTTGGAATGCCGGCAGGGAAGAAGGGAAACACCTATCCTTCTCTCATCTCTTCGTGCATAGTAGTCCTAGAAGAGCTTTTCAACTTCTTCGGGGAGGAAGAGAGAGAGAGAGAAAGAGAGAGAGAGAGAGAGAGAAAGAAAGGGAGGGAGGGGGGATGTGACGGAGGAATATTTTTAGATCCGTCGTTCCTCGCATCAACCACGGCCTGTCACCGGCTTGCTCCCATTTGCTCGTGGAATACGCACGATTCCGAATCCGCCACCCCCTCTCCGCAACCACGCAAAGTCGGTCTCTCTGTTATTCCGCATCCACGTTTCTCTATTTCCACGTCTCTATTGGCAAGAGCCTTGCAATAGGGATTATCGGCCCCCTCTCCCCCCTCCCTTTCTTTCTCCCTCTCTTCTTTTGTCCGCTCCCACGTTTCTTTCTTATTTTCCATATACATATTCCCGTAATGGACTTACGGATAGAGGAGTACCCGTTTTCACGCTCTTATTGGCGGGCTACAATTTTCGTAGCGTCCCTCTTCCCGTGCCCGAAAGAATTTCATCCTCCCTCGAGAAATAAACACGCGGATAAGCGCGTGGATTTTTCGAAAAATCGGAAAGGGGAAAAGATACGGGGAGGGACGGATAGATCGGGCAGAATTTCGAGGGGAGCTCGTTGAGTTGACCCGCATCGGGAAATGCCAAGGCGAGAGAGAAACGAGTCGATGGTTTCCAAGTTTCGAACGCTATCTCCGGCATTTCGGCAAGCGATGCCTTTAACACGGGGATTAAACGATTTTGCCGTTGAACGGGTAAACGAAAGGAAAGAAAAAAAAGAAAAAAAAGAAGAAAAAAAAAGAAAAAAAAGGAATCGTAATTTAAACGTTTCGCGAAAGAGAAAATTAAGAGATCAGCGACAACGTTACGCGCGACGTTAAAAAGAGAGGAAAGAAGAGATGGAAAGAGAAAGATAGATATATCGAATTACCAATTGTCTCTCGAACCATTATATATATATATACATATATTCGTTCGACACATGTATGCATACACGTATGCACGCTTAGCGTAAGTAATGTATACGTAGATATACATACGTATTTATTACAGCTCCATTCCACGCGGAGAACGGTAATAGACCACTTTTCTCAATCCACTCGAGCTATGCTTCTCAAACCAGAGCAGTAGTAAATAAAAGTTACGGCTACCATCTTGTGTACTGCGAGTTACGGCCTCTCTGGCTGTTGGTCGTAACCTTTTTGTTTATTCCAGTTCCCGATCTCTCTCTCTTCTTCTTTTTTTTTTTTAACGCAAGGTAACCACGCTACGTGACTTCTTCTTTGCTGTCCTTACGATCCGATGACACTTGACACGAGTACAACCATACTCGACATACTCGAGTAGAAACTATGTCTGCGAAATCTGTATATTTTTTCAAAACTATTCGATATTCTTATCTTTCTAGAGAGAGAGAGAGAGAGAGAGAGAGAGAAAAGTTTGCGTCGATATTTAGATGTCACGTTAGATTAGATTGTTCCACTTTTGAAAGGAAATTTTGAACTTGTACTACTTTTCCATCGTCGTTATACCGCAATATGTACTTTGACTACGTGAAAGGCCGAGGACAGTTTAGAGAATTTCGCGAGATTATCAGGCTTATTGTATCTTGTGTTTATCGTTTGCTGCTTGGAATTTTAAAGAGTTGTCGTAAGGCTGGCAAATTGGCGCCAATAACATTCCTTCTTCCGTTTACGTACGAATAGTTTTCCTTTAAAAATAACGATTGTAACTTGAATAATAGTGGTAAATTTATAGAGTATACTTTCTTGTTAATTTATTGTTCGAGTAATCCATCAGTGAAATTAAAACGAGTGGATATATTAATGCGATAAATGTCACAATGATTGTATTTAGATAATTAATTGCTTATAACGTATATATATATATATATATATATATAATATTATATACCAATAATAAAAAAAAACTGGATCATTTAAACTTTCGTAAATTATTATTTTATTCAATATTCTTCTTTAACGTTGCAATTTATTAAAATTGGAATTATTAGTAAAATATCTGCCTCTGGAATTCACGTATTCCATTACATTCGTAAACCACGCGGCACGATTATAACTAAAATTTGAAATTGATGGTTGCGATGTAGAAGTAGTAGATGTGGCCGGTCGGTCGCCTACAACTGAACCAATTTAATCGTGGATTTGCGACAGGGAGCAATAAGAGAGAGAGACAGACAGAGAGACAAATTTTTAGGGACGTTGAAAAATTTGTGAAACAAGATAGAACCATTAATTTTAGATGATGCCATTAATAGGTGGATACCGGTTTAATATTGAATAACCTCGGGCGCCGTTGGAAAAAAAAAAAATATGTATAAAAAAAAAAATATGTGTCCATGATTAACCGCGCGACAACCGCGCGTTCGTTTAATCGATGCGTGAAAAGAAGAGGTCTTTTTCAATTCGACGATCCAATCTGTTTTTAATTACGTACAAGATATTTTGATATTCGCAATTTAAAACGATATGTAACGATATATAAATGAATTCAGTTCGTCCTTCTGTAATTTTTAATTAGAGGAAAATAAAAAAATACAAAAAAAAAAAAAAAAAGAAGGTTTTATCATAAGGAAACATCATGCATATAATTATTACGTCGTAATTCGGGTTTTATCGTATTCAAAAGAAATTGTTTGATTTTATCCCAAAAACGATCGTTTTTCTCGCAGCTTAACTTTTAAAGTGGCGTTTAGCAATTATTTCCGAGTTTCAAGGTTTCGCTTGCATTGTTCCAGGAAGCGGAAAGTGCCATCGGTGCCATGAATGGACAATGGCTTGGTAGCAGGAGTATTCGAACGAATTGGGCGACTCGCAAACCCCCTGCGCCAAAATCCGAGGGTAAGTATATATATATATATACATATATATACATATACATATATACGTAAACACGTACACGTACGTACGTGTCTTTCTCGAATCTTTGCTGTACACTGAGAGTGGTGCATGATTGTCGTTTAATACAACGAACACGTCGAATCACACAATCGAAGAATCCAAGAGGAACGACTGACGTTTACTTTCTCTATTTATTTATTCATTTTTTTTCTTTTTCTTCTTCCAAACTTCGATCCAAATAATCCTAATCTAGAAATATATATATATATACACAATTATTACAAATACTTTTTTGCGTAAAAAATCGCGTTACTAGATAATACGTAATTGATAATCTCTCGTGGACGAACTAATCCATCGTGTTTTCGTAAGGAAGCAATAACAGAAGAATGTAAAAGAAAAAAAAACGAATTTCTCCCGTTTTTCGTTTGTGAGACGATGAGGAAGCGTCACTCTTAGCGTGCCCTTAAGACCACGTCTGACGCGCATACGAAAGCGGCAAAGGAAAATTAAATATCGCGGTGGCCCCCCACGGAATTTTCGCCGACGCAGCTGGAATTCGATTAGGTCCAGTCGGCCGAGGAGAAAGCTTTCATCCATTTCGCGTCATCGAGGTGGAGAGGTTAAAACAGTCTCGCCACCAACTCTCGCCAACGCTTCGTTGATCGATATATCACGATATTTATCGAACGATATCTTTATCCAACCTCGAGATATTCGATCGCGTCCACATCAAAATGAATTCACTTTCGTTTCACGTTCGTTCGTTTTTTTTTTTTTTTTTTTTTTTACACGTCCGATTATCGTTATCCCCATTTGTCCGATACGATAAATATCGAACGGAATCGTCTTCGTTTCATCGTTTCGCATAATCGGATAACGCAAAACGGATAAAAACCGAACGCGCGTTACGTGCATCGGTGACGAAAGTGGTCTCGCTCGATAAATAAGGTTTCCCGGATGATACAGCGGCCCGAAGCGGTAAAAATATTTTTAAAAAAAATTAATAACAATAATAATAATAAGAGGAGTGAGAAGGGGTCGGATTACAATAGAGAACCATCCGCGATCGATGCGACTCCGCTCATTCATCCCCTCCCTTCCCCCTTCTCGCTTTCGTCCACTCGAATGGATCGAGTATATCGTCATTTACCTTTCATATATCCGATTTGAGCGCGCACAGAAGCTTGCTCTCTTGCTCGAAGCTTCACTTTAATAAGCTTCGAGTCGTTCGAATCCATTACTCTACCGTCGTAATTCGTGGGACGAATTTTCTCTCTCTCTTTCTCTCTCTCTGGAAGATTAATTTTTACGGGGACGAGAAAAAAAAAAATTGGTTTCGAAATAGATCGAAAGAGAGACTCGATTTAATCCAGAGATGTTACGTACAGGGCAACGAGTAAGAGATTCGGCGTAATCGTCTCTCTCTATTACTCTCTCCTCCTCTCTCTCTCTCCTGTAATTAGCGGGTGTTAAAGTAGAGCCGCGATGATGAAAGTATAAAGTGAGGGAGGGAGGGGGGATAGTAAGAATCCAATTGAAGTTACGAACTAAACGCATAATGAGCTCGGAGGTAGCGAGGCCGGGACCCAACTAAGTATTATTATATTATCATAAGCGGCTCCTCGTCGTCGACCCTCCCGGGTGAGGCGAGCCTCCCCGTCGTCCACTCGCCTCCGACCCCTCCGCCAACTAATTTCATTCCGCAAGTCTTTAATTAGTATTCGTCGCCAAGCGTCCAAACTTTTTCACTAGACGAGGCCTCGCCACGGCCCGTCTCCCGTCCTGCCTACGGGACCGGCTCACCCCCTATTTGCATACGCCATATTCACTCGGGGAACGCTTTCTTTCACGCCTCTCCTTTCCATGTATATTATATATGTATATACATATATAATATATTCTAAATCTCGCGTTGGGAAAAATGATTGTTCGTTAATGAAATTTTCTGCCCCTCCTCTTTCTCCCCTCCGCGTGTCGAACACGTAGCGCACCGTCGTAACCATCGCCATCATCGTGGTCGTGTGAATTTTATTTGCGCATATTTTGGGATTAAATCGGAGGATAAAAATATAGGAGAGAAGGAGAGATAGGATAGCTACTTTATCGATCGATCGTGACTCGTTCCATTTGATTGATGCGCGTAATAAAAGATGTACGCGTAAAAGGGTTCGAGAGTTTCGAGGGGGGGGGGGGGGAATAATTCGCAGCGGGTCTCGAATCAAATGTGTCGCTGTTTTACCTCTTGCTTTTGTAGCCGGAAAAATTTTCGGTAAAAATTCAAGTTCGGGGATGTCGGTCAAGGTGAAGCGTAGCTCGAAGCGTATCGCTTAACCTAAAATATTCGAGAACCTCGGTGGCGCGATCTTTCCAGAATTTTCCAACGAAAAATTCTCTTTCCTCGATTCGCCACGATCCGAAGAATTGCGTCGAAGAATTTTCTTTGTCTCAGATTAATTTTTCCGTCCCCTTATATATGCATATATATATATATATATATAATCTTATGATTAAGATTCCTTATTATATTAAATCACGTTTGAACGTAGCGTATGTATGACGGTAGAAAGTAAGATAAAAATAAAAGGAATTTTCGAAATATTAGTATTCAGGACATCTTTCAAGACATTTTCCTCTTAATAATATTCCTACCTACCTATCTACCTGTCGCTTTTCTTCTTGGAACTTAATTTTTCACTTTTCCTAATGTCTCTTATCACGAGGCTCATTTATTCATTTATCAAGCCTTATCTTTCCCCGTAAATGTGAAAAATTCGAGCCAGGTACGAGACCGGCGTACAAATGTCATTAAATTACGCATAATCCGAATGTTATATGTATATATAGATCATTCTATACCTTAATATAATAATTTTCATCGAAATCGATTCTTTTCGCAACCTTTTCGTTAAAAACGAGTTGACGAGTGGGGAGAGGTTTTGAAAGATTTCATAAAAAAAAAAAAAAAANAAAAAAAAAAAAAAAAAAAGAAATTGATCGCGATAATTCGATGGAACAGGGGATAAAATGCAATTATTGCAAATGGACGACGATAAACAACCGACGAACGGTTTCTTTGTTCGTTCGAATCGATCAATGGAAATTTTATAAGAACTGATTTCAAGTGCTGATAAAGATATATAGCGGATAAAAAGTTGGGATCGTGCAAATTATCGTTCCGTTTATTCGATGCGTTAATTCGATCGCCGTTAAGCGAGTTTAATTAAATTGGATAAACCATAAATTAATACGATTAATACCGTTGACGTTTCAACGTTCCGCGATTATTAATCGTATTAATTACGGTTTGCCTAATAAACAAACGGCAAGCCGCGTTTCGTTACGACGATTGTCAACCACCATCCTGCCATTCAACCTTTAATGGCGGATCCATGGTTTATATACCGCGCAATTTATTATTCGTTCCAAGCTTATTCGAGGGACTCGGCCGCGGTTTAAACCTCGTTACTCCATAACAATAAGAACGCTCGAGAGAGAGAGAGAGAGAGAGAGAGAGAGAGAGAGAGAGAGAGAGAGAGAGAGGTAAATAGTCCCGATATAATGCGTAGGTTATAAATAGCGCGGTTCAATGAGATGAGTGTTGTTCCAACTGAAACAACTGGTCCATCGAACAATACGAAATTACGAACAACACCGCTTTTTTTCAACGGCGAAGAATTTCGCGTTTTCGCGCGAAAACGAAGTTTTCGAAGAAAGGAAAGAAAAATTATTTTTACGTTAGAGAGATTTTTAGAAAAAAAAAAAAGAGGAAAAATAATCGCGCTCTTTTTTTTCCTTTTCTTTATCAAAAATTCCTTTTCTTTATCTGGAGTGGTGCAAGTCGCTAATGCGTCGCACTGCTGACTTATTTAAAGGTTCTCCTGGTTTATCCGCATACTTTCACGTAGAAAAGAAACGTATCAACTCCTTTGAGAAATCTTGATTCAAATATTTCCACGGGTTAAGAATAAAGGAACAACTTTCTCTTTCGTTAATTTCTTGAGATATAAATGTAATATTCATCATATCCGCGTAATTTTTACGTGCGTATTATTAAATGTTTCGATAAATTTGAACGCGGTAAAGAAATACTTCGAAACTCGAACTGGCTCGCGTTACGAATTACGAATGAAAATTTTGGCAGAAACGAAACCACCACCGGTTATATCATTACACGTAATAATACGTTATTACGTTACCGAAATTCGGCTCGGTAAGCGAATCCATATCCGTTTCCTCCGCGCGTAAATAATAGGTACACGTAAAAGAGATAAGAGACAAGACGTTGTCGGTTATAAGGAAATTCTTATAATCGCGATTCCCACGGAAAGGGAAAAGAAACGGGGAAGTTAGAGACAAAGTTGGGGCAAAGCGGCGTTTAATTTGAGAGAGAGAGAGAGAGAGAGAGCGAGCGAAGTTCGTCAGCAACTGGGTCAATATTTTATAGCCCTGGCAATTAGATAATTTTGCGGTCAGGCAAAAATACCGATTGGTGGCGTGTGAAAGAGACGAAAGACCGAGGTTGGGGCTCGGGTTTTAATGTCGAAAGTTTGTATCGCCGTCGACTCGGTTGAATCGTTCGTAACCAAAACCACGAACTGCTGTCGATTTCGCGTCGTTACTCTTTAAAAGAATCAACGACGGTCCCCTTTCATTTTCCGACTTTTAATCTCTGTGAAACGAAACTTATCGCAAAGATATATAAAACTGAAACTTACCGGCGTAGCCGTATTAAAAAGTAACGAGAGCTTCGAAGACGGGGCTTCCTTGAAAAATGACGTTATTAGGTTTAAATGCACTTTCTTTTCTTTTCTTTCTCTCTGTTTCTTCTTCTTCTTCTTCTTTTTTCTTTCTTTTTAACTTCATTCTCATCATGAGTTATTACGAGCTTGCCCTTCTCCACCATTATCGTCGCTATCATCGTTAACGTTTGATACAATTTAAATTTGTAACTTTGATATTTCTAAATCGGGATATTAAATCCACTCGACGAATCGATA